TCAAATATTTCCCAAAAAGGGGGATGTTTGGGCCCTCTACAGAAATTGGTCTCCTGACTGGAACGAGAATACACCTGATGATGTCATACACAAATATGACATGGTCCTAGTTCTTGATGACTACAATGAGGAGCAGGGAATATCAGTTGTTCCTCTCATCAAAGTTGCTGGTTTTAAGACGGTCTTTCGTCCTGACCTGAATTCTGAGAAGGTGATAAGAATAACCAGAGAAGAGATGTTTCGTTTCTCTCATCAGGTCCCAAGCCACTTGCTTACAGGTGAAGAAGCTCAAAATGCTCCAAAGGGTTACCAGGAGCTTGATCCAGCTGCTACTCCATTGGAGCTTCTTCAGACATTAACTGAAACTAATGAGGTGCCATCTATTCAGAACGGTGGAGAGGTTAACGGAGGTTCATCACAGAATGTTCAAGAAACTAAAACTAGTGAGACTACTGATCGTATTCTCAAATCCAGGGAAGAGGGGATAGTAGAAAGTTAAGAAGCTCCATGAAAATGCAGGAAAATAGCTTTTTGCCACAATAGCCAAGAACAGCAGATTTGAATTTTGCGAGGATATTAGTGGAATGAGGAGATATTTTGAAAATACATCTAGTTGAAGACTTTTTGCCAGACCTTTTGACTTCAACTGAATGAGATTAATTGTGGTTCAGAACAAAGCATTAGTTTGAGCTTATATTAATGGATCAAGGCCTATTAGCTGAACTGGAGTTAGAATGTGGGTGGAATTTTTTTTAGAAGGTTACTACGCAGGCCCTTGTTTTGTACCTTGATCAAAGGCAAATGGTTGATCAGAGATATTAACACAGGTTAATGCTTTTTTTCCTTTGGATGCCGTATATTCCCATGGGTGTACTTGGACCTTTCCTTTTGTTATTAAATCCTGTAGAGGCATCCTCAAAGTTTTTATTTTGCTACAAACTAGAAAGACTTCTATTCTTGGATCTGGTGGAGTAAAAATATATCTTGTTTACCTTAAATTTCTTAAGAGATTGATTTTCTGTTAAATACTGATATCATAGAATGTTAATGGGCAGCCTGGTGCACTAAGCTCCTGCTACGTGGGAGGTCCTGGAAGGGTCGGACCACAAGGGTGAGCCTTAACTTGCATTTCTGCAAGAGGTTGTTTCCACGGCTCGAACCCATGACCTCTTGGTCACATAATCTCAAGAGCTATATCCAGTCATGTCACCTCATTCCAGTGATATTGTTTGAGGAAGCATTTTTCCTGTGATTTAAACAGTTAAATGGACTTTGGTGGAAGTTGACCTTTGTCCTAATTGCTTCTTTGCGCTCTGGATAATTGAGACTTTCAAAAGTTATGGGAAACTTCCTGCTGCAGTTAGGAGCAGGTGGTCTTGTTTCCCTCGATTCTCCTGCATTTCCTGATTTTCTCAATGTAATTGTTTATTAGGCAAATTCAATCGTCTCATTTGCAGTGCCAAGCTTAGCAGAGGAATTTATTTATTTCAGATGCAAGGTTGGCAGAAAGCCTTCTCCACTATGTTAATGAATCTGTTAACTCTTCCTATAGATTACAAATACTTCTCTCTCAGTCGAGTCCTATTTGCTCTCTCCTTCCCTCCCTCCCGGGGCGACTTAAAGAATCTCGCGAAACCATATCGAGAGACTCTTAAATTTATTTTACAAAATTTGTGCGCTAATGAAAAAAAATTCTTTCTAAACAACAAATTAATCATTTAAGATAAAAGATAGCAAATTCCAAAAAAATAAAATAGGAAGAAGAGCACAAAGAATAAAGTGGTGGATTATCAAATGTTGAGGTCCGGAACTCCAAGTGAAAATTTTGATTTGGCTATCATCACAAACAAGAAAAAAAACATTACATAACATAATAGTTTAAGTTTTGAGCATTAATAAATGTTAAAAAAATTACGCCTTCTGATCAATTTGAACTATAATTACAGTTCATTCTTGTAAGTAGCACTCATTGGTGAATATCTAAAATAAATTACAACTGACCTAATATAATAAAATTATCATAATTTATAAATTTATTGGTATAAAATGACCCAATCAAATAACGAAAAATATATTGTAACGCTTTTGTTTATAATAATAATAATAATAATAATAGTTTAAAGATCTTGGGGCCTTCAAGTTTTGGGGCCTAAGGCAATGGCCTTACTGGCCTAGCCTTAGAGCCGCCCATGTATACAGTTAGCTTGGAATTGGGGTATTTGTATCTATACCCGCTTTTTAGGTCATGTTTTAATTTGTGCCTACTTTGCAAAAAAATTTATAAGCGTACCCACTTTTTCGCGTAACTTCGGTATACGGGGCTGAAGTAACAAAGGCAATCACGCAAAACTTCAGCATTCAAGTAGACGGGCCTGAAGTAGCAAAGACAATACGCTGAAGTTTTTTTGTCCTGGATAAGCTTTTTCAAAAACTTCAGCAGAAGATGCTGAAGTTATTTATTTCATTTGTAAAAACTTCAACAACTGGATTCATTAGTTTTGTCATAAAGCTTTTTCAAAAACTCAGCAGAAGATGTTGAAGTTATTTAGTTCATTTATAAAAATTTCAGCACTAAATAAGTTGAAGTTTTTTTATCCTGGATGTGAGCACGTGATTTTTGTTTCGCACGACAATCGCTCCAAAAGAAATAAAAAATAATAATT